CTTGTCTCGCTGGGGGCTCTCCGGGAAGAGGCCGTAGCGGGGGGGTGGGGTGGAGAAAGGGAGGTACAAGAGGGGACCGTCTGGGAGGGGGGTGTCTTAGACTGCAGAAGGAACGGCCGCTGGATCTCTAGGAGAGGTTGAGGAAGTCTGCCACCTAGGGACTGAAGAAGGTGCTGCAAGAGGCAAGAAGCTTTTAGTTGATTAAAATTAGGTAAAGGTAAAGGTTCCCCTTGACATTTAGTCCAGTCCTGACCAACTCTAGGGTGCGGTGCTCATCCCCGTCTCCATGTCGTAGAACCAGCGTTTGCAGAAAGTTTCCGTGGTCACGTGGCCAGCGCGACTAGACATGGAATGCCGTTACCTTTCAAACTGCTCGGTTGGCAGGAGCTGGGACAAGCGATGGGAGCTCACTCTGTCACGTGGATTCGATCCTACAACGGCTGGTCTTCTGACCTTACAGCACAGAGGCTTCTGTGGTTTAACCCGCAGCGCCACCACATCCCACTTAAGATTAGTCTTCTTAATTAATTAATAAAATGACCCTGAAGTGTGTGCGGGCATGGAATCCCCTTAGTAACCATGCCAGGATTCATATATCTGTGTTTTGTAAACTTTGAATTGTGTGTGCAGATGGACACACATTCTCTTTTATTATCATTATATCATCATCGTAGGAGTCCCAGCAAGGAATGATTCCAATGGTGGTGTTTGCAGATGCTCAGTATATTCAGGACAGTTACTTGCTAGCTTAGTGTTATTACTGTATGCTCCTTTTATTACTTATTAATGATAAATTATTTATTAGTCATGTTTATATCCTTCCTTTTCTCCATCAAGCTCAAAGTGGTGCATCGATCTCACGACCGCCCGGTGGGGTAGGGGTCAGGCTGGCTTTCCCAAAGACCCACAGTGCATTCTGTGGGGAACAATAGAGCTTGTGAAAGTTACTTTTCTAAAGACTCCAACTCCTCAAATCCTCCGTCAATCACAATTGCCACAAGATTCTGGGAACTCTCCTTTATGAACTAACTTCTCCATGCTCTGGAAGGCAATGGAAGCTTGAATCTACCTCTGATGGCTGAGAATATGTAAGACTGAGCGCTGACTTTTCCCAAGGTAATTGAAATTACGATGGTGCAATAAAGTCACTGCTTTCAATTTGCTGGAGTCAGAATAGGTGCTACTAACTCCTTCTTTAAATCAGGACTGGTGAGTTAAGTAAGAGCCAGAACAGGCATCAACCTGTTTCCCTTTTTTTGGAGTGGGTGTTTTGCTTCACTTTGTCACCCACACCTGTTTTTCTAGTTACATTAAACAGGTTTGCTTAGTATCAGGAACGTCAGAGGTTTAAAAATAAAAACTCGGGTCCTCCCCACACTCACACACACACACCCCAAAAAAACTTGTAATCTTTTGAATGTTTGTTTAGCTTCATGGGAAGATCCACAATACAAGTGTGAACTAAAATACAACAGGTGACATGAGAGAAAAAGAATTAAAGGGTGGAGGTGTTCATGCAAACTAAGTTCATTTTTAGGGCATCCTCTCAGATAATTGGGTGTAGGATTGAAAGCTCAGAGGTCTGAGGCTGCAATCCTGTACCTCCTGGTGGGGGACTTGTGACCCTCCCAATGTTGTTGGGCTGGAACTCATCAGCTTTTGCCCAGATACCTAGTTTTGAGGTAAGTCCTGTCTTGCTAAGGAACAATCTATTGTCAGGGTCAAGAGAAGAGTCAAAAATCCACTGTGCACTCCGATGGGGCAGTCTCCTCTTTCACATGCGTGGAAAGACTGTTGGGTGCTCTTACAGGAAATCTACAACTGGAACACATATGTGACTCCTGAACAGGGCAGGAGCATGTCCCCCCCCCAATATTGGGGAGAGGTGCCCCCTCTGTCCCAGTTCATGAGTCACCTCTGCTCAAGCATCCCTGAGAAGCGGACATCCAACCTCTGTTTCAAAATCTCCTATGAAGGAGAATCCACAATTTTCTAAGGGAGTCCATTCGACTGCCCAGTGGATTTTACCACTGGGCAGTGGAATGCTGAAATCATCTTTTTTCATTGTTTGGAGTCGTCCATGTAGGTCTTACCCTCTGGAGTGGCAGGAGACAATCTTGCTTCATTTTTTCTGAGTCAGCCTATAAGATCTTTAGAGATGGCTATCAGTTCTTGTTACCACCTCTTGGTCTTCTCTTCTCCAAGCCAAACATAACTACGTAATCCCCTAGTGCAAGAGTTGGGTGATACCTTTATTCAACCACTAAAATAATGAAACACATTTTATTTTTTATTTGTTTTATTTATATGCCGCCTTTCTCCTGGTAAGGGGACTAGCTGCAAGCTTTCATGAAGAAAATTTCACTTCGTCAGGCTGGGCACCACCCCTTTATGGATAGCGCAGAAAAATTGTAGATAAGCGTCCCCAAAATTTATCATGGCCTAGTTGCTCCTGTAATGTGAGTTCAGACTTAGTCTGCAAATGTCAACTGAGGGGTGCAGTTTCAAGCGTCAGCCCTTGCAGCATGATTGGAATTTACCATCCCAAACTTCAAACAAAGGGTTTGCTAATTACTCTGTGGCTGTCCCACGAAAGCTTGCAATGTGTTTGAATTTTTCGCAGTTCAATAAAGGTATCACCCTACACGTGTCTTTGTGTAATCCTAAAAACCATATAGCCTTTTCCTAATTCTTTCTGGAATATCAAATTTCATTCATTCATTCATTCATTCATTCATTCATTCATTCATTCATTCTATACACCACCATTAGTGCATAGCACTATTTGGGGCAGTTCACAGGGTAATAATAAAAAAGATTTAGAATAAAACTTAAAATCAGTTCATTGAATCGAATGGAACAAGATACAACCAATAACAAAACAGGCATATTCTCTAAATGCAAGATTAATCATTCCATCAGATGCTTGGTTTCCTGACCCTTTACCGTCTTCATTATCTTCCTCTGGACATGTTACATCTTTTCAATGTCCGAGATGAACTGATGCTATATTTAGTATCTGATAGGAATGCTCGGTTCCTCCACTCATGTTCTATGTGTGTGTTCTGTGCTATCAAGTCAGATCCAATTTACAGCCACCCTAAGAGGGTTTTCAAGATAAATGAGATATTTTATGGACTGGTTTTACTAGTTCCAATCCCCCAACGAGTTTACTTAGCCTAGTGGGGTATTCAGACCCTGTTCTCCAGAATCCTAGTTTGTCACTCTATCCGCTACACCACAAGGAAAGGTAACAAAGAATAATGAAGGATGTAAAAATCATGATTTTCACACATTTTAGAGGATGCACATTTGGCCATTCTCAGAGGCAATTAAATAAAAAGGTCAGTTCTATTCTAATGAGTTGGAAAGATGAAATCATCAAAATAGCATGCCTTTCTGTCTTATTTTGTACAAAGCCATTGTTTCTTTGAAGGCATCCTTTAAGTCGGGTGGCAAACATTTAGTCCTTAATTTAAAACCGTTATGTCTCATGTCTGGCAAGAGCATCCACAGAAATAATTGGAGAAGGGTTGCAAACCCTATGATGACACCTATGGATTGTCCAGCTGATGGTATTTTATACCTATGCACTGTACACGGAAAAAAAAATACCAAGTTTAAGATTTGGGAGGGAGCCGCTGTGGCTTCTGAGATTTGAAATCTACAACAACTGGAAGACCAGATGTTCTCTGGTTGCTGCTCTACTTAAAGCAGTGGTCCCCAACCTTGGGCCTCCAGATGTTCTTGGACTACAACTCCCAGAATCCTTCACCACCACCTCTGCTGGTCAGGATTTCTGGGAGTTGAAGTCCAAAAACATCTGGAAGCCCAAGGTTGGGGACCACTGACTTAAAAGACTGTCCGGATCAGGTTCAGTTTGCAGGAGGCGCTCCAGATCATGCCAGACGGAGACTCCCACTAGCCATAGCCAGCAGAGTCAGTTGTGAGAACCTTGAAGACATGCCATCCAAACACATCTGGATCATCCCAGTCGCCTAAACTGGGTTTGCATTTAAAGAACTGCTAGAAGAACGAGCAAGAGGGGCCTTAAGTTTGCCCAGCTGCCCTTAGCAGCACCTGGACAGCAAAGTGGGTGGTGCGCATACAGGTTACCCAGTCACAGTTATTAGGCCCATTATGTTAATCTGAACTACAGTAATTTTGCATCTCTGCCTATACAATTTGTGCATGCAAATCTGTGGTCCCTTTTATCCTATTTTATATTACAGTGGTGCCTCGCAAGACGATGTTAATTCATTCCATGAAAAACGCTGTCTTGCAAAAACATTGTCTTGCGAAACACAGTTTCCCATTGGAATGCATTGAAATGTATTTAATGGGTTCCAATGGGGAAAATCGTTGTCTTGCGAAAATTGTCC